CATGTATATTTAAGAGCGAAAGCGTAATCATCTATCTATAAATACTATTTGTTTATATTAGAAATTAGAGGTGTATACTATATTCGCACATAATTGAATAAATGCGATATCAGTCGTTAATAGCATTAATGTAATTATGTGCTTTGTAACGTGTCCCTGTGAATTGCATAAAAAAATAACGAAGGGCTGCGGATTATGACGCATTTTTTCAGCATTCGATGTACAGTGAACTCGGCTACAGTGACCTCTTCCTCTCCTTATTTCTAATAACCGCTGAAAGTTCCTAATTTTCTGCTTGGTATGTTGAATATAGGATCAACGAATGGAATCTCCGAATTTGCCATGTCAGGAACTGGAAAAGGGGATCTCTTGCTTCTTAAACGGAAAACTGAGCATAATTGAACCCTGCATTGAAACCGCAGTTCAGTCTTGCCGGCGATATGAATTCGTAAGGGATCATATTCAGCACTATTGCAAGAGCTATAAAGAAACATACATAATTATCAACAACTTCATGATGTCTGAATCGAAGGAGCAATTTTAACTTCTGAAAAAGATACGTTTCTTTTCAATTTTTTATTGTGGCGGTTTTATTTTGTGTACGGGTTACCCCCCCACACACTCCTATATATATATATATATATATATATATATATATATAATATATATATATTTATATATAATATATAATATATATATATAATATATATTATATATATATATATATATATATATATATATATATATTATATATTATATATATATATATATATATATATATATATATATATATATATATATATATATATATATATATATATATATATATATATATATATATATATATTATATATATTTATATATATAATATATTATATATATATTATATTATATATATATATATATATTAATATATATATATATATATATATATATATATATATATATATATATATATATATATATATATATATATATATATATATATATATATATATGCATATACATTAAATTAAATACATAGACACATATTCATATACAATCCATATACATTTTGATGAAATAACACCAAATTATCACAATACAATGTATAATACTTTATGATTACCCAACCATTATAATGTACTCGGTACCCCTACTCATTATTTTTTTTTATAAGTGAAAGTATCAGATCACGTTAAGATAATTTAAAATCGTATAATATCCTTTATTTCTTACAAAAGCAATCAGATTTCATGAGATGGACTAGGATACAAGGAATGGCGTTCTATATTTGTTTTTAAAGGGTTCTGCTTGATATACTGAATATGGGAATTAGGAATGGAATTTCCTCATTTGCCGAATCAGGAAATTGAAGAGGAATCTCCTGGTCCTTAAACGAAACTGTGGGAAGTTGACGAGGGCGAATCCCTGCACTGAAGTCGTAGGTCAACGTTGCCGGGACCAAAATCACGTTTGCCGATATATATTCCGTATTTGGGCACAGGGAGACTGTAGTAAAGAAACGCAGCGAATTTCATGGTGTGTGAATGAAGGATCCAATGATGATATTTATTCATTTAGTTCACTCTAGCTTCGCCCGGGCCTTTTCTCGTAAGTGGCCCGCCTCTGTAAGCTACTTCTAGCTGCTTCGTGTGTTCTGTTTGAACTGTACGCTTATCGCGGAGGATGGATTGCCAGCAAACGATCCAGTTTCCACGGCGAGTGCACGTGACATACCTTTTTGCCAACCCGGTCTCAGAAATTGTGTGCTCTTAATTCTGTACTGTATAAAGGTGGTGTTCGGTTCGGTTCGGTACTTACATTCCCTCTCTACCAAGTCGTCAATAATTTGCCAAGCGGACAGGTAACCTAGTCTTAATCTGTGCTGTATATCAACACCTCTATCCCAGTGGCGCCTCAGTGCTATCTTGCTGAGAGAGTGGTATTTCCTCAATGTGTACGTCGCAGAATGGCGAGCACAGTAGCGTTGGACCTGTGGCTCAATATTCTCTGACTTAGCTTGACGATCATGGGATTCAGGGGCATGATCGTTAACCCCTTTCAAGCTAATCCGTTAGAACGGTTATTCCCTTGGACGCCTATCTGGCTTGGGACCCAGCTCACGATTATTCTCCTTCCGTGATCAAGAATCCTCTGTGCTATGGTGAAGGACTAGTCAGGTGGCATGAAGCCTCTAGCAGTTGCTGTGCTGTAGACAGTAATCGCTGATCACGACAATTTTTGGGTATATAAAAATATAGAAAATCTTGTTCATATTCTTGATTTTATTTGATAGCCATTAGTAGTTCGTAGCATCTTTGAAGGTAAATTGAATATGGGATAAACGAACGGAATTTCCACATTTGCCAAATCAGGAACTGGAAGAGGAATCTTGTTCTCCAAAAGAAAGCGTTGGAAGCTGAGGAAGGCGAATCCCTGCACTGAAGCCGTAGTTGAGTCTTGCCGGAGTCAAAAACTCGTACACGTTAGGCGATCCATATTCAGCACTGTTGCACAAAGCTATAACTGCAAAGAAAGTAGTAATGATAATGAGCTTCATGATGCTTTAGTTAAACGAGAGAGCAATGATATGTCCTTTCTGCTAAGAGCTTTATATGTGCCTTTTGTGGGAACTGCGCTTTCGTAAACGCGTTCCCATATTAGGTGTTTAGAAAGGAATTAGGAAAATCATACGTAAAATTAATACAATATTTACCGATTTAATACACAATCTGTAAGTGGCCACATATTTCTTGTAGATAAATGACGCTTCTCTTTAATACGGAGTTGATTTTTCCACAATCCAATTCGAGAAAATAAAACTGCCTTAAAGAGGCTGGTAATATTTTAGGTATAAACACACCAACGCACACGCGCCATCACATGCAAAGATATATTTAGATTGCTATTTTAATATAATTATAGATATGTCGTTTCCACATAGAAATTGATGTTTCTAGATCCCGATAACTTCTTTTAACAATGTAGCAATTTCTTTAACTCAATCCATACCCAAACACACACACACATATGCATATATGTGTATATACACACATAGAATTTATATGTACACACATACGCACATGTATATATATAGGATGTATATTTATACACACATACGCATATGTATATATATAGGATGCATATATGAACACAAACAGACATGTATATATATATATATATATATATATATATATATATATATATATATATATATATACACACACACATACACACACACACACACACACACACACACACACACACACACACACACACACACACACACACACATACATATATATATATAATGTATATATGTTTATATAATGTATATATGCATATATACAAATATATATGTACAACACATATTTTACACACATATATGTAACACACACTTTTACACATAATGTTTTATATGTGTAAAGTAATTATGTAATTAAGGAATGGCACTCCCATATCTGCCATGTAAAACCTACAAGATTTTTACATGGCAGATGCGAATTTCAGCATATTCACATTTCTATATTCTTCATTTTAAAAATTATTCATTCATTCATTCATTTTTAATGAACTTTTTTATCATTTATTCTTCTGCTATTCATTAGAATATCTGTTTATCCATGCTTGTCCATTTTTAATAAGCTATTCATCAATTGATCTCTTTTTATACAATCATTCATCTGTTTTTTCTTTAGTTCATCTGTTTATCCATGCTTGTCCATTTTTTATTTACCTGGCCATTTATATATTTATTCATCAGTTTTATCTGTTTATATACACTTCATCTGTTTATTCATTGGTTTAATCGTTAGTTTTTCATCTGTTTATTGACTAGTTTTTCATTTGTTTATTCTTTAGATTTTCATTTCATTATTCATTCGGTTTCCATTCGTTAGTTTTCAATGATTCAATCTGTTCATCTGTTTAATTTATTTCATTATTTATTTGTTTAATTTATTTCATTTCTATGTGTTTCATTTCATTCCATAATTTCCATATTTCCCTTTATGGGAACTGCGCTTTCATAAGCGAGTTCCCATAGTAGCTGTTTTCAAGGAATTAAGAAAGTCGTGCAAAATTGATGCAATATCTACCGATTTTATATTCTCATGAAATGGATTTTAATAAATAATCTGTAATGGGCCTTAGATATATGTGGTAAGGAAATGGCTCCCCTGTGTAATTACTCGGAGTCTTAAGAGGCTGGAAAAACTTTAGGTATAAACAAACAACAAACGCGCACCACCACATACAAATATATTTTTAGATTGTCATGAATATAATTATAGATATACGGTTCCCACATAGAAATAGATGTTTCTAGATCCCAATAACTTCTTATAACAATGTGGCAATTGCTTTAACTTATTCCATCCCTATTGGGATATACAAACATCTATTTGTATATGGGAATCGCCTAATTATAATTATATTCATGACAATTTAAAAATACATTTGTATGTTATGGTGCACGTTTGTTGTTTGTTTATACTTAAAATATTTCCAGCATCTTAAGACAGTTCTATTTTCTTGTATTGGTTTGTAGATATTCGACTCCGTGTAATTACACAGGGGAGCCATTTCCTTACCCCATATATATTAGGCCCCTTTACAGACTGTTTATTAAAATCCATTTTATGATAATAGAAAATCAGTAGATATTGCATTAACTTTGCATGTCTTTCCTAATTCCTTGAACACAGCTACAATGGGAACTCGCTTATGAAAACGGAGTTCCCATGAAGAGTACATATAGAAACTGGTTAAAGGTACTTGATTTGTTTACTGAACCCCAATCTGCCCAATCATACATGGATACATATATTCCTGTGTATACAGAGAACGGTCTGAATCAAGGATATCTACCATTATAACACCAAAGAAAAAAATATCCTTACAAATTGGCACCCGAACAGGGACCGTTCTAATATATGTATATATGTTTGATCGGTGAAGTATTGGGTTCATAGTTAAAGTTACTTTCATTATTAATAACTTAGATTAACTTTAAAATCATGACTTCGCTAAATGAATTAATGAAGTTCGGAAAAGAACTCGGGTTAACGGGAGAACACCTGCAAGAATTCATAAGAGATGAACAAAGTAAAGAACGTGAAAGGTTCGAGTTAGAACGTGAAGAAAGAGCGAAGGAAAGAGAAGCAAGAAAAGAGGAATTGGAAATAGAAACTAGAATGAAAGAACTAGACCTGGAAAAACTAAGATTACAAGTGCAAAGTGAAGAAAGTGAGAAATTCGAAGTGAAACCCGATGTTTTTAAACCAGCACTTCCGAAACTGCCTGTGTTCAACGAGGCAAATGACAGTATAGACGCGTACATACTCCGGTTTGAGAGACTAGCAACAAGCGCCGGATGGGACCGGGATGTATGGGCGGTCAGCTTAGCCTCCTTGTTGCAAGGGAAAGCGCTCGAGACGTACCAGCATCTCTCGCCAGTGGAAGCGCGTGACTTCGAGCGGGTGAAAGAAGCGCTGCTCAGATGTTTTCAGTGCACGGCCGAGGGCTATAGACTCAGATTCCGTAATTCTAAGTTTCACAAAAATGAAACTGCTTCGCAATTTGCAAATAGACTAAAGAACAATCTAACAAGATGGATTGAACTCGCGGGTTGTAAACAAACTTATGTTGACGTATACGATCTTGTGCTCACTGAACAATTCCTAAGTGCGTGCGATAAAAGCATGGTGTTATTTTTAAAGGAGCATGATTTTCAAACATTTGATCAGATGATAAAATATGCGGAATTGTATATGGAAGCGCATGTAAATTATGGTAGGAAAGATAGAGAGGGTCATGAGAGGAGTGCGACAGGTCGTGCGAGTGCAAATATCAACTCTACGTCAGGTGTGAATAGGGGCGAGGAAAGGATGAAAGGCGGAACGCGTGCTTGTTTCGTGTGTGGACGAGCTGATCACCTTGCCAAGGATTGCTATAACAGGTTCGGAGGATCAAAGTACAAAGATAGTAAAGGTGTAAGATCTAATGTTGAAAAAGCAGCAATGCCTCATTATGGTGATAAATTAATGATTGCAAGAGGTAAGGTGGAAGGTGTGTGTGTTGACGTGTTTCGTGATCCTGGATGTACGACGGTGCTAGTGAAAGATAGTTTGGTGCCCAAAAGTAAGCTCACGGGTAGAATGGTTGACATAAGGATGGCCAATAACATGGTATTTAAGTATCCAGAAGCTTTTATCAGTGTAGATACTCCATTCTTTACTGGTAATTCATTAGCTGCTTGTCTGCCGGATCCTAGATATGACTTGGTGATCGGGACGATTGAGGGATCGAGTGATGGAGGAATGAGTGTGCAGGTGAGTGCGGTCACGACAAGATTGCAGAAGAGAGAGGAGGAAAAGTGTGAACGAGGTCAGTCAAGGCTTAAAGTAAGGGATGTATTAAAACACATTAAAAACAGGGACATTGCTAAGTTGTAAAGGGAAGATTAATGCGATGGTCAATGTGTTTACAACAGTTTAACTACACCGTAAAGAATATTTCGGGTCGCGAGAACATAGGTGCAGATTGTTTAAGTAAACTTTAAGATTGTGAATATTAATGGCTGTAAATATTAAGCTAGTAAAGCTGTGTTTTTGTTTAACGGGATTCTAAAGAAATCAACAATTTCTTATATTTGTCAAGCACACAACCACAGCTTTAAGCACTGACTACCTGTGTGTGATTGTTAAGGCGTGTATGTACGTATGTATGTTTCAGTAAAAAGCGCGCGTGGAAGGTGACGAGGTGCTTGTGCGTAAGTGTGCGTGGATAGCTGAACTGGTGGCGCTTGAGGTCAGACAAAATCGGTAGATACTGCATTAATTCTGCAAATGACCTTCCGAATTCCTTGTAAACAGCTACTATGGGAACTCGTGCATGAAAGCGCAGTTCCCATGAAGGGTACATATAAAGCTCTTAGCAGAAAGGAGTCATCATTGCTCTTTTGTTTAAGGCAACATGAAGATCATTGCCATTACTACTTTCTTTGCTATTTTAGCTTTGTGCAACAGTGCTGAATATGGATCGCCTAACGTGTACGAGTTTTTGACTCCGGCAAGACTCAACTACGGCTTCAGTGCAGGGATTCGCCTTCCTCAGCTTCCAACACTTTCTTTTGGAGAACAAGAGATTCCTCTTCCAGTTCCTGATTTGGCAAATGTGGAAATTCCGTTCGTTTACCCCGTATTCAATTTACCTTCAAGGACACTACGGACTACGAATGTTATCATAAATAAATAAAGGGAACATAAATCTGTTATTTTTTCACCCAACGAATTAGAATCGGATATTTCAACATTTCCTTCATGATACCTAAAGGAATTCGCCAGATCAGCAATTATTCGTTCCATTTCCTGATGAAACATGAATAAATAATGAAACATTAACAAATATGGAAATGGATGAAACATTATCAAATATGGAAATGGATGAAACATTATCAAATATGGAAATGGATAAAACATTATCAAATATGGAAATGGATAAACATTATCAAATATGGAAATGGATAAAACATTATCAAATATGGAAATGGATAAACATTATCAAATATTGGAAATGGAAAAACATTATCAATATTGGAAAATGGATTATTAAATATGGAAGTACATAGACATTATTAAATATGGAAGTACATAAGACATTATTAAAATATGGAAGTACATAAGACATTATTAAATATGGAGATAGATAAAACATTAAAATATGGAACATACATAAGGACATTATTAAATATGAAGTACATATTAAATATGGAAGTACATAAAACTTTATTAAATATTATAAAACATTAAATATGGAAGTACATAAAACATAATTAAATATGTAAGTACATAAAACATCATTATATAAGAAAATTTAGGGAACAAAAAATCCGAATATATAATGAAATAAACGAAAGTGAAATAGAGATGAAGAAAATTAGAATTAAATGAAATGAGGAAATAATGGAACATGGACAAAATGAAACAAAGATATATGAAAGCCTAATGAGACATCCATAAATGGTGGAATATGAATAAATGAAAAAATAAACATGAATAAATGAAAATACTAAATATTGTAAGTAAATAAATGGAACGAATTAATGAAAAAAACATGAATAATTGAAATAAATATAAAACAGAAAAATACTGGAATAAAGAAACATGAATAAAATACTGGAATAAATGAAACATAAAAATACTGGAATATGAAACAAATAAATACTGGAAAATGAAATGAATAAATATTGGAATACCATGAATAAATACTGGAATAATGAAACATGAATAAATGGAATAAATGAAACATAATAAATACTGGAAATGAAATGAAACATGAATAAATACTGGGAAATACTGAAACATAAATATATACTGGAATAAATGAAACATAAATATATACTGGAATAAATGAAACATAAATAAATACTGGAATAAATGGCAAATTAATAAATAACAAAATTCATGATACAGTTTAATAATGAAATTAATGAAACGGATTAATAATGAAATTTATGAAACACCAATGGGAAAAGATTTTTTCTAATCAATGAATAATGAAGTACATGAAACATGAATAATAAACAAAATAAGCTAAAGAGATGAGTAAATTCATGAACAAATTTATGAACAAAAGGATAAACAAAATTATAAACGTAAGTTTAAAAGTAGACAAACAGATGAATACACAGATTAATAAACTAATAAATATACAGATGAAAAACATGAATGAATAAATGAATATAGAGATACAAGATAAAATTATGAGATACATGAAAAGATGTGAAAAAATAAGTGTTTTAGGATAACCAAGTTATTTCAAGCCGATTAAAAAAGTTTTTTTTTCTCAAATACTGCCTGGAAATTAGACTTTTCATCATACAAAACTTATTTGTAAAGAAAATAGTTTTATCTTACAGTACATATCGTTGAAGGCTAGGGTCACGTCATGTTATTCCTAATTCCTGACAAACATGACATGAGAAACTCAGTCATGCTATCAGAATTCCCGCAAATATGCATACAAAAAGATCTTTCCGCAAGCGATATTATCAATGGAGTCTTATTGCAGACATCATGAAGTTCTGCTTGGTAGCCACTGTCTTCACTTTCCTCTCATTGTGCTCAAAGACCAAATATGGATCAGCTAACGTGTACGAGTTTTGGGCTCCGGCGAGGCTGAACTACGGCTTCAACGCAGGGATTCGCCTTTTTCAACTTCCCACACTTTCGTTTAAGGAGCAAGAGATTCCTGTTCCAGTTCCAGATTTGGCAAATGTGGAAATTCCATTCGTTTATCCCATATTCCGAATACCAAGGAGAACACTTCAAACTACCAAGCTTTATTAGAAATACATAGAGACGGCGAGACTTAACAACATTTCCATACATGATTTCGCCTTCCACAGGAAAACCCAGATTTCGAAAATATTATGAATTGTTATTAAAAGAAATAAAAAGTATGGATGCACATTTCAATTTTCTTATTTGCCCAATTTGTGATTTGTTTCTTTCACTTTCTCCGTCCATGTATACGTAAATACGCATAAATCTGCATATTAGCGTTAAATTATCGCTAATAAACAGTTTCTCCATGTTTATTCATCTATTTATCCATGCTTATTCATCTGTTTATCCATGTTTATTCATCTGTTTATCCATGTCTATTCATCTGCTTGTCCATGTTTATTCGTCTGCTTATCCATGTCTATTCATCTGTTTATCCATGTCTATTCATCTGCTTGTCTGCTGTCTATTCATTCTGCTAGTTATTCACCTGCGATGTCTATTCATCTGCTTTCCATGTCTAATTCATCTGCTATGTTTATTCACCTGCGTATCCATGTCTATTCATCTACTAATCCAAGTCTATTTATCTGCTTATCCAAGACTATTCATCTGCTTATCCATGTCTATTCATCTGCTTATCCAAGACTATTCATCTGCTTATCAATGTCTATTCATCTGCTTATTATCCATGTTATTCCATTTGCTTATCCATGTGCTTATCCATGCATTCTGCTTATCCAAGACTATTCATCTGCTTATCAATGTCTATCACTGTCATCCATGTCATATTATCTGCTCTATCCATGTCTATTCTCTGCTATATCCACGTCTTATTAATCTGCTTATGCCATGTCTATTCCTGCTATGCCATTCATCTGCTTATCCATGTGTTATTCATCTGCTTATCCATGTCTATTCATCTGCTTATCCATGTCTATTCATCTGCTTATCCAAGACTATTCATCTGCTTATCAATGTCTATTCATCTGCTTATGCCATGTGTATCATGTTTGCTTATCCATTGTCTATTCATCTGCTTTCCAAGACTATTCATACTGCTTTCAATGTCTATCATGCTGCCTCATCATGTCGCATTTATTGCTGCTTTATCCATGTCTATTCATCTGCTTATCCTACGTTTATTAATCTGCTTATCCATGTCTATTCATCGCTTTGATCCTGTGTATTCATTTGCTTATCATGTCTATTCAATCTGCTTACGCCATGGTCTATTCATCTGCTTACCATGTCTAATTCATACTGCTTATGCATGTCTATTCAATCTACTTGTGCTATGTTTATTCATTCTGCTTTCCATTGTATTCATCTGCTTATCCATGTCTATTCATCTGCTATACCCATGTCTATGTTCAGTCTGCTTATCAATGTCTATTCAATACTGCTTATCCATGTCTATTCATCTACTTGTCTATGTTTAAATTCATACTGCTTATCCATCGTTTACTCAGATTGTTTGGGTCGCATGTTTATTTATTGTTTGTCCATGTTTATTTGTTATTTGTTTGCCATGTTGTTATTTCACCTATTTAATTAATCTTCCATTTATTCTGTTTATACATGTTGTATTTTTTGTTTTGGCCATCTATTTATTCATTAATATTTTTTATTATTTAACAATGTTTATTCATTGTTTATGTCTGGTTACCTACTTCTTTATATATGTGTATGTGGCCTAGCTCTCTTCAGATCTGGTTTGTCCATCTGATTATTCTTAATCTTTTTATTCATTTATTTATTAATTCATCATATTCACCTGTTGATTTCATCATTTATTCATGTTTATTCCTTTTGTTTCATCTATTCTTGTTTGTTCTTTCATTTATTCTTTATTATTCTGTCATTTATGAATGAATGTAAATCTTGTGTCATTTATTTCATTGTTAATTCACGTTTCATTTATTTACATTGGGATAATTCATATTTTAATTCATTTGCAGTGGTTAATTGTGTTTTCATTAACTTCCTTGGTTTATTTCCCTGTTTTTTATTCACGGCAATTGTTATTTATGTTTCATTCATTTCATTGTTCATGTAATTTATTTGATTTTTAAATATGCTTCATTTCCTTTTGTTATTCACATATTGTTCCATTTACCCTTTCATAATTTCTTTCACNCTCGCTTATGAAAGCGCAGTTCCCATAAAGGGTACATATAGAGAGACCTCCTATCAGATAGGAGTCATCATTGCTCGTGTGTTTCAGGCAACATGAAGCTCATTGCCATTACTACTTTCTTTGCAGTTATAGCTTTGTGCAACAGTGCTGAATATGGATCGCCTAACGTGTACGAGTTTTTGACTCCGGCAAGACTCAACTACGGCTTCAGTGCAGGGATTCGCCTTCCTCAGCTTCCAACACTTTCTTTTGGAGAACAAGAGATTCCTGTTCCAGTTCCTGATTTGGCAAATGTGGAAATTCCGTTCGTTTATCCCATATTCAATTTACCTCCAAAGACACTACGAACTACCAATAGTTATCATCAATAAATAACGTGGACATGATTCATAAATAAATTTTAAAATATGAACAAGATTTTTATTTTCTATATACCCAACGAATCTGTTTCTGAATTTCCATCATGAATTCCTGAATTATTCGTCAAA